TGGAGAGGAGGACAGGTGGAGAGGAGGACAGGTGGAGAGGAGGACAGGTGGAGAGGAGGACAGGTGGAGAGGAGGACAGGTGGAGAGGAGGACAGGTGGAGAGGAGGACAGGTGGAGAGGAGGACAGGTGGAACGACAGGCAGACATAGGGACGAAGAGAGGCAGTTCCTCTGCCTAGGCTGCCAATGTGAGGCCTCGAAGCTGTGTAGCCTGCTGATGTGGGTGTATGTATGTGTGTGTGTTTACTAGTTGTGTTTTTGCGGGGGTTGAGCTTTGCTCTTTCGGCCCGCCTCTCAACTGTCAATCAACTGTTTACTAACTACTTTTTTTTTCCCCCACACCACACACACACACCCCAGGAAGCAGCCCGTGACAGCTGACTAACTCCCAGGTACCTATTTACTGCTAGATAACAGGGGCACTTAGGGTGAAAGAAACTTTGCCCATTTGTTTCTGCCTCGTGCGGGAATCGAACCCGCGCCACAGAATTACGAGTCCTGCGCGCTATCCACCAGGCTACGAGGCCCCTATCAATAATTTAGTGTGCGTGTGTGTGCGTGTGTGCGCGCGCGCGTGTGTGTGGACGCACTCACATATAGGCTTTGATGTCTGCTATTGTATATGTGCAACTTTCAATTGTTGCGACACACAGAAAATTCTAATTTTAATTTTAATTAATTTTAATTAATTTTAATTAAAAATTAATTTTAATCACACCGCTTCGATTCCCTTTACGTTACCGAATCAGGAAAGCGCTGAATGCTTCATGGATTCAGTGCTCTGTGAGTTGTTTACTTCAGGGAGTTAAAGGCTGACGCTTCGCTGAATAACTCAAGTTTTCACCGACACACCTGAAGCCAGCCAGCGCCGCTTTCGTTAAAACGATGAATATAACAGCAACTTATCTGGCTCCTTTATCCACACACACGGCACAGGTTTATCGTCCATTAGGCACCTGCATAAGATACGAGGGACATAACATGCGCGGCATTGCTTAAGGAATTCCCTTCGCCAATTCGTTCCCTAAGATTATTTGCATTAGCGAATGTCTCTACAGTCATGGTGACCGTCTGGTCGCTACACGCCGCTCGTAAAGGAGAGGAAAATACGAGCATCGTGATAAGATCGTTTGCAGCATCTTTAATCTGAGCGGGTTACCTTAGCAACAACGGAGGAGCTTAGGGAAGGCAGTTTCTTGGTGGGGGAGGACAGTGACCTCTCTCGTCGAACTGGCTCTGGAAACTCTATCTTTTTTTTTTTTTTGTTTGAGATATATACAAGAGTTGTTACATTCTTGTACAGCCACTAGTACGCGTAGCGTTTCGGGCAAGTCCTTAATCCTATGGTCCCTGGAATACGATCCCCTGCCGCGAAGAATCGTTTTTTCATCCAAGTACACATTTTACTGTTGCGTTAAACAGAGGCTACAGTTAAGGATTTGCGCCCAGTAAATCCTCCCCGGCCAGGATACGAACCCATGGCATAGCGGATCTCTCTATCTGTCTCTCAGTCTTTGCCTCTTTACCTGTCTCTGTTTCTGCCTTTTTATAGTTCACTGCTTCTCTGTCTCCCTTCACATTCTCACGTTCTCTCTCTCTCCCATACACTGTCACATTCATTCTCATTCCATTGACAATGGTCACTCTTGTAGTCTTAGAAGGAATGTCAGCTCCAAGAGTCATCCTCGCTGACAGCTACTGATATTCCAGCACCTGTGGTCATCTTAGTTATAATCGGCCCAGTGGCTGTTGCATCGTTATTGATGGCTGCGATCGTCTCAGGAGCCGGGGGCGTCCTAGCAACGAATGGCGCTACGTTGGTAGATAATTAGGAAGATGATTAGGGCACCGCGAATGCTAAATGGGACGTCGTATATGCGCCTCTACAGATCCTGAATGGGACATTTGGTGTGGCTCAGTATATCCTGAATGGGGACGTTGGGTGTGGCCACGAAAACCCTGAAAAGGAATTCGTCTGACTGCAACCCCCAGGAAAATTGCGCCTCTTAGTGCGATAATTCCGAGTTGAATAATGAAACTTAAAATGGGATATAATGTGAAGGTTTCTCGCATGATATGTGACCATGCTGGGTAAATATTACCTGGAAAGGAACCAGTTTATGTCGCTTTGTGGGGAAGACATTTCTTACTGAATCATGTTCTCTTCAGGTATCTTGATAAACATTATGTTAACTGGTATTTATATATTTAAATACTGATGTTTAACACTGACATTATATGCAGGGAGAGGTAACGAAGAAAAAATTATATAAGTACTTGTTTGTTGTATATAATGTTAGGTATATAAAAATGTATAATATAATTATTACTTGAAACGAGGCAGTCAGACGTAGGAAAGTGTTTTCACAAAGTTGCACCGAGTCAGGTATATGCAACTGATACCAGAGATGGACAGACTCGTTGGTGTCAACGTAAAATCAACTAACGTCAGTATTTACCAGCTCCAGTAACGTGCCAATTCGCGCGAAACGTCTCGAGATATATATATATATATATATATATATATATATATATATATATATATATATATATATATATATATATATATATATATATATATATATATATATATATATATATATATATATATATATATATATATATATATAGAACGAGAAACAAAGTCTCCCCGATATCACCCTTATCAACAATCTCAGGAAGCGGTTAGTGTCCGACGCGAAGGACACATCTTGACCCAAACCTCTGACAAGAGTCCATAAAGCCACAATTAATAGGCCAGTTCGACTAGCATCTTACAGTCATCCATAAAACTGTGCAACTGGCTTATCGTGTGTCTCATGAAGTGTATGGCTGACTGGCTGGCTGGCTGGCTGACTGGCTGGCTGGCTGCAAGCAGTCAGTTATTCACTCTCTTGGGGTTAGGATTGACTGTAACTGTATTCGGTTTATTGTGAATCTTTGACGAAGACGGTAAGTGGCCAATGTGAGTAGGTAAAGACGGGCTGGTGGTTTAGAGAGAAGGGAAGACAGGGATTAGGGGCAGGTGGAGAGCAAGACAGGTAAGGAGGAAAGGCAGACAGGGCGATCGTCGACAGAAAACCCAGCAACTTCACCGTGATAGCAAAACATTTCAGAGACATCTAACTGGTTCATTTTTACCGCATGTGGCCGAGGCAGCCCTCAGACAGCCAGCCCCCGGCAGAGACCAGGGATATAATCTGTCTGGCTTTCTCTGAAGAATGCCATTTGCCAATTCATTCTCGAAAGCATTTGCATATGCGAATATCTCTACAGTTGTCCACCTGCACGCCGCTCGTAAAAGGAGAAGAGCTATATATGTGAATCATGCCAAGCTTGTCCCAGCATCCAAGGCCTGGTCAGGTTACCATAGCAACAACGAAGGAGCTTAGTGATTGCAGGTTATCCTGTTCTCTGTCGTTGGGGACGATGACCTGGTTATCTTACCCCGACCCCCTCTCTCTCTTCTGCAATGAATACATGAGTATATATGTATGTACATGTACATATTTTTGGTCCAAGCAGCATCCCCTTGCATTATCTGTAGGAAGCATCATACAATGTTGCAGGCTCCCTGGAGATCGAATGGATCTCAAGTGGCCCTCTATGTACCTTCAGGTTTTCTGATTTAGCATTTAGTTTTGATTATCTTTCGCCTTTATCGTTCATTCCTGTTCGTATCTTACCTGGGGAGAGTTCTGCTACCTGTGTTTACCTTCCTGTGCCTATACTGAGTGGTTGGGCTTAGTTGTGTGGTGCTAAAACTCTTTGTTTTAATGAAAAACTACGAAAACGCTTATAAGTGTGGATAATCTTGTACTCTATCAAGCTAAATGTGGATAACCTTGTACTCTATCAAGCTAAATGTGGATAACCTTGTACTCTATCAAGCTAAATGTGGATAATCTTGTACTCTATCAAGCTAAATGTGGATAACCTTGTACTCTATTAAGCTAAATGTGGATAGCCTTGTACTCTATCAAGCTAAATGTGGATAACCTTGTACTCTATTAACCTAAATGTGGATAGCCTTGTACTCTATTAAGCTAAATGTGGATAACCTTGTACTCTATTAAGCTAAATATGGATAACCTTGTACTCTATTAAGCTAAATGTGGATAATCTTGTACTCTATCAAGCTAAATGTGGATAATCTTGTACTCTATCAAGCTAAATGTGGATAACCTTGTACTCTATTAAGCTAAATGTGGATAGCCTTGTACTCTATTAAGCTAAATGTGGATAACCTTGTCCTCTATTAAGCTAAATGTGGATAACCTTGTACTCTATTAAGCTAAATGTGATTAATCTTGTACTCTATCAAGCTAAATGTGGATAATCTTGTACTCTATCAAGCTAAATGTGGATAATCTTGTACTCTATCAAGCTAAATGTGGATAACCTTGTACTCTATTAAGCTAAATGTGGATAGCCTTGTACTCTATTAAGCTAAATGTGGATAACCTTGTCCTCTATTAAGCTAAATGTGGATAACCTTGTACTCTATTAAGCTAAATGTGATTAATCTTGTACTCTATCAAGCTAAATGTGGATGGCCTTGTACTCTATTAAGCTAAATGTGGATAATCTTGTACTCTATTAAGCTAAATGTGATTAATCTTGTACTCTATCAAGCTAAATGTGGATAGCCTTGTACTCTATTAAGCTAAATGTGGATAATCTTGTACTCTATTAAGCTAAATGTGATTAATCTTGTACTCTATCAAGCTATATGTGATTAACCTTGTACTCTATTAAGCTAAATGTGGATAGCCTTGTACTCTATCAAGCTAAATGTGGATAACCTTGTACTCTATTAAGCTAAATGTGGATAACCTTGTACTATATCATTGTTTAATTTGCTAGATGTTATTCATTATATGTGAGAGTCTGACATTATATTTTGTGTTATATCACATCAAGATTCTTCTCCTTGGCTGATTCATTTAGCTGCTTCCTCTTATACTCTGGCATTTGATGAGATTGAGCTCCAGTAGCCACATGTCTGACCAGTCTGGTAAGTGTGTCTGCGACTCTCCTTATCCATTCTCATCAGCTTTGCAAAATCAGCAAACATCAACATGTAAATGATTATCTTCTCGAGTATCTCGTTTACATGTATCAGAATCAACATATATTCAAGGTAAATGCCTTCGAGTACTAAAGTGTTTTTCGCTCGAGTGGTTTCTCGTTGTTTATACTCGCTCTCCACTCTTTAGTCTTGAAAGGGTTCTAAGAGTTTGCTGATATATTGTTTAAAACTGTTCTACGTCTCTCTTCGGATTCAAGAGTTCTAAGTTCCTGTTTAGTGTAAGATCGCATTGATTCCTTTAGGACTTAGCTACCTATATCTTACTCTGGTTATTGTGTTCCCATCTGTTGAACCATGGGGCCGACTTCTCTCATCCACTCACATGCCAAGACGGTAAACTTTGTGATCAACGAAATGTTGCATTAAGTCAGAATATGAAGAAGCTACTGGCATTGCTCTCTCTGTATCGTCCCCTGAAAGACTGTTGCATAATATGACCATATTGTATAATATGATCATATTATTGTATAATATGACATAACAACAGCCATGTCCACTATGACTGTTGTACAATATAACCTTGTGTGGCGACCTCTACAATACTTATGTTCTCAAAACTCAAAAAAAAAAAATTGGAAAAATCAGCTTCACTCCTAGTCTCTCATATTGTGTATTTCCTGAATACCTTGTAGCCTTTGTTGGAAAAAAAAGCTCATTCCCGTATTATGTTTAATAGTTTTGTTTCTGTGACTGCAATTAATTATATTTGCAGTTGCATGCGTGCCTCTCTTATTTGCTATACCATGTATATTTATATTTGTATTCATTATATATATACTGCTCATAACTACTGGAGATTGGGATCCCTGTGAGGGAAAAGAATTTTATTGGTGAATATCTTTTCAATATTTCCTTAAAATATTAAGAAAACTAATTAATTGTTTCAACTGAGTACGGTAAGGTACTTTTCTCTCACTATTGTTGTCATTAATAATATGTGATTTTATCGGATATAAGTAAATCAGTGCAAGTGTAGGAACATGACAGTGAAAGACATTTCACTAAATTTGTTCTTATATTCAGATTTTCGAAAAAAATCCTATTAGGAAAACCTAACCTCATAATATAGTAGTGTTTTCTCATTAAATATAGTCACTAATTAGTCCTCCTTTACCACAACAAGTCACGTTGGAGTCTCGACTAACAGAGTACACGTTCTCCACCCGCAGCTGCGTCAGCGTCTGAAGCAAAGCGTGACGCAAGTCCCCCGGATCACGACCCACCTCCCAGGATCGAGCTCCGGCCTGTGGCCCACTCAGGAAGGGGAGACCTGGTCCCGGATGCAGACAACGCCCCAACTTACTGCACGCATCGCCTCTCCAGGTGGGGCATTGTGGAGCGGCTGATCTGATGCATTAGGGCATTGATACGTGCATTTATGGGTGCATTAGGGCATTGATACGTGCATTTATGGGTGCATTAGGGTATTGATACGTGCATTTATGGGTGCATTAGGGCATTGATACGTGCATTTATGGGTGCATTAGGGCATTGATACGTGCATTTATGGGTGCATTAGGGCATTGATACGTGCATTTATGGGTGCATTAGGGCATTGATACGTGCAATTATGGGTGCATTAGGGCATTGAACGTGCATTTATGGGTGCATTAGGGCATTGATACGTGCATTTATGGGTGCATTAGGGCATTGATACGTGCAATTATGGGTGCATAGGTGAAGTTGCTCGGTGAAATATAGAGTGAGAGAGAGAGGGGAAGACTATCACACACAGATCACACTAACGTGATGCATCAAATGAACAAATCCACAAGGGCCGTGACGAGGATTCGAACCTGCGTCCGGGAGCATCCCAGACACTGCCTTAATCGACTCAGTCGTAGCTCAGTCGATTAAGGCAGTGTCTGGGATGCTCCCGGACGCAGGTTCGAATCCTCGTCACGGCCCTTGTGGATTTGTTCATTCAGGGGAAGACTATATCTTGAGATAGAGACTCCTCTATCTCTCTCTCTATCTCAAATATATTGAGATAGAGAGAGGGGAGGAGGAGACCTCGCCCCGAGTATACCTAAAACAGAGAATATCTACCTGTCTGCCTCTCTAATCTTAGCGATTTAATGTATAATCATACCGGACATAAATATAATCATACCGGACATAAATGTAATCATACCGGACATAAATATAATCATACCGGACATAAATATAATCATACCGGACATAAATAAAATCATACCGGACATAAATATAATCATACCGGACATAAATATAATCATACCGGACATATGTATAATCATACCGGACATAAATATAATCATACCGGACATAAATATAATCATACCGGACATAAATATAATCATACCGGACATTAATTAACGTCATATACATGCGTTACTACTGATAATCAGCTAGGAATTATATTTACTTGGTGTAGTTATTTATCCTATACATTTATTCCTCATTACTTCCTGCTGTGGATGCTGTTGGACCGCATCTTGGACATCTCCACACTATCATCATCTGCCCCTACGCCCACACCACCGCCCACGCTGCTCATCTCTCCCCCCCACACACGCCCATCCCACCCACGGCAGCACCCCTGGAGAGTGTCGTCACTTCAAGGACTGTTACCCCCTCTTGAGGCTGCCCTCCTTCACTCCTGAAGAATCCTGGATTTTAGGCATCTATGACACGTGTCCACTCAACTACAAGGGAAGCCTGGTAAGTGGACTAACATGTGTCACACCTGTTAACTAAGCCCCAAGGGAAGCCTGGTAAGTGGACCAGCATGTGTCACACCTGTTAACTCAGCCCCAAGGGAAGCCTGGTAAGTGGACCAGCATGTGTCACACCTGTTAACTAAGCCCCAAGGGAAGCCTGGTAAGTGGACCAGCATGTGTCACACCTATTAACTCAGCCCTAAGGAAAGCCTGGTAAGTGGATTAGCATGTGTCACACCTGTTAATTCAGCCCCAAGGGAAGCCTGGTAAGTGGACCAGCATGTGTCACACCTGTTAACTCGGCCCCAAGGGAAGCCTGGTAAGTGGACCAGCATGTGTCACACCTGTTAACTCGGCCCCAAGGGAACTGGCATCGAACCCCATGTGTCCGAGGAGTTCATGGAATTCACTTTCGATCGTTTCATACGGATTTAATATTTTGTCTGTTATTGACTCATTGGATAACGAAGCGTCGTTGGATGCTACGATTTGTCGCCCGACGATTTGGTCGCGCGTCCGACCAAATCGTCCGACGATTCGGTGATATGGTGTTGGTAATTATAATGAGCATCTGTCGTGTCTGGTCGTGGTGAATACGCCTTGACGCCTGTCACTTGTCTTTCCGACAGACAGGAAAAACCTGGAAATATAAAATCTACATTAAAATGTCTACAATAACATTTGCGTTCCGTTAAATGAACAAGATAATGATCGGGTCAACAGCTGTGTAGCATCTGTCCATTGGAGAACAAGTGGGATAAACATCTGTGAGTCAGTCTTGTCTCGAGTAGTGAAGGTATTTTCCACTTTGCAGGTGTTTGGCGTGTGTTGTGAGCCCTCCAAAAGCCACCGTCCCTCCAACGACGTTTCGAACGAGGTGAGATTGGCGAACCAGCGGAAGGAAACCCCGGACCAGTACACGGCAGCAGAAGACGATGAACCGGGATTACTGGATCGCAGCCACGTCCAGTTCGTACCCCCGAAGGAGCCCTCTTTTGAGCTCGAGAAGCCGTCTGTCAGATACCCGTGGCAGGACCTCCAAACCCACCCCCCTATAATAACCCACCCTCCAGAGCACACTAACTTCCCGTGGTGGGCTACTCCAGGGCCCACTACCCCCAGCGCCCCCACTAGCAAACCAGCCACCCAAAAGCCCTGGTGGGAGCCCGCAACCACAAAGACCACACCACTCTCCTGGTGGCAGACGACAACCGTAAGATCTACACCGACTTCCTGGTGGCAGACCACCAAACCGTGGTTGACTACAACCCGAAGAACCACACCTAATCCGTTTTGGACAACTGCTCCCACTACACCCAAACCACCCACTTCGAAGGTGCCCTTCTGGGAGCGGCCGCCTGCTGACGACACCGTCGGAGCTCGTAAGTCTTCTTTGAATTTTCTTTGAAATTCCTTGAACAAAATTTGTAAAAGTCTAGTTCGTACCGTCTGAAAATCGACTTCATAAGCTAGTCAATCTTTTTCACCCATAAAATTAGGTTTTTGCCCTTTGAAAGTCTACATAGCTCATATCTTTGGAATTCTAGTTCTTCTCCATCATAAAAAAAGTAATTTCAAGTTACATTGGTATAAAGGAATGAGAGACCAAGATTATTTCTATCTCTCAAATATGATCAAATAATGTTATAAATGTCGCTTGGATTAATATTGTTTATTCTCTTCTATCCCTAACCTTCCCTACATCCCTCCCTTTATCCTCCATCTATCCCATTTCCCCTTATATCCGACCAATTCCTACCCGTCCCTCCATCTCCTGTCCCGTGGGTTCGATACCCCAGCTGCGCCCCCAGTACCGTCCAACGAGGGGGGCAAGGACCCCTGCTCCCCCGGGGCTTTCTACAATGTTTATCTTGAGGGTTTCAAAGTCACTGGAGGTACGCCAGCCACTCCACACACTTATCCTTGGATTGTAAGTATAAGGTGTAAGTGTGTAGTGGTGTCAGCCTGTATAAGGTGTCAGGGTGGAGTGGTGTCAGCCTGTATAAGGTGTCAGGGTGTAGAAGTGTCAGCCTGTATAAGGTGTCAGGGTGTGGTGGTGTCAGCCTGTATAAGGTGTCAGGGTGTCGTGGTGTCAGTCTATATAAGGTGTCAGGGTGGGGGTGGTGTCAGCCTGTATAAAGTGTCAGGTTGGGGTGATGTCAGCCTGTATAAGGTGTCAGGGTGTGGTGGTGTCAGTCTGTATAAGGTGTCAGGGTGGGGTGGTGTCAGCCTGTATAAAGTGTCAGGTTGGGGTGATGTCAGCCTGTATAAGGTGTCAGGGTGTGGTGGTGTCAGTTTGTATAAGGTGTCAGGGTGGGGTGGTGTCAGTCTGTATAAGATGTCAGGGTGTGGTGGTGTCAGCCTGTATAAGGTGTCAGGGTGTGGTGGTGTCAGCCTGTATAAGGTGTCAGGGTGTGGTGGTGTCAGCCTGTATAAGGTGTCAGGGTGTGGTGGTGTCAGCCTGTATTAGGTGTCAGGGTGTGGTGGTGTCAGCCTGTATAAGGTGTCAGGGTGTGGTGGTGTCAGCCTGTATAAGGTGTCAGGGTGTGGTGGTGTCAGCCTGTATAAGGTATCAGTGTGGGGTGGTGTCAGCCTGTATAAGGTGTAAGGGTGGGGTGGTGTCAGCCTGTATAAGGTGTAAGGGTGGGGTGGTGTCAGTCTGTATAAGGTATCAGTGTGGGGTGGTGTCAGCCTGTATAAGGTGTAAGGGTGGGGTGGTGTCAGTCTGTATAAGGTATCAGTGTGGGGTGGTGTCAGTCTGTATAAGGTGTAAGGGTGTAGTGGTGTCAGCCTGTATAAGGTGTCAGGAATTAGATATATTTGCCACAAATGTCAGAACGTAAGTGAATCAGTTTACAGCTTTGAGGGTAAGAGTTTCCTAAAGTAAAGGGAAGGGTTACACATATATAAAAAATACATATAACATGTATACATATACATAATACAGCGTATTGGCGTTTGCCTTTCCATTGGAGAATTTCAGCGCCCAGAAAGAAGGTGAGGGGGAGGACCTGCTGCATGGGTAACCGCTTCTCCCATGGACATAATTGATATACATAATTGATATACATATCCATCTCACGTCTGTAACGATCCAACGATTCGACATATTCTATTCTACCAGGAAATATGTTCCATTTAACCACAAACCTAATCCTTAACAAAGTATTAAGTATTAGGAGCATTTATGAATGCAAACTTTCCAATTTGGTTTAGAAAATATCGCGTTCTGTGTTATATTGTATATATAGCAATATAGTACTAAATATATATTGATATATTTAGATATATTTAGCAATATATTTAGCTTATTTATTCATGCGTGAACTTCTTTCATTCTTCACTTGTAAACAAAAGGGAAAGTTAGTTCATCTATGTAGTCTTAGGTGGTCCCAAAGTGTGTGTGTGGGGGTGGTTGGGGGTGGGGGGGAGGTTGCGAGTTGCGTGCATGTGTGTGAGAAGGGGCTTGCCAGTAGCGTGCATGTGTGTGTGAAGGGGCTTGCCAGTAGCGTGCATGTGTGTGTGAGAGGAGCTTGCCAGTAGCGTGCATGTGTTATAAGGGGTGCAAGTAGTGTATGAGGAAAGATACAAACAAAAATTCAAAATTATCACAGCTCCCATTCCACTAAGACATTCCTCACAGATTCCTCCTCACGCAGAAATGAGGACGACCCCTCCCGCCATCCCCAACTTCTCATTCCATCATTATGTTCAATAATAACGCGTCCTTCTTGTCCCGCCTGTGCTCCGTACAGGCGGCAGTGTTCAACAGGAACAAGCAGTTCTGTGGCGGATCTCTTATCGACAGCACGCACATTCTCACGGCCGCCCACTGCATCGCTCAGTGAGTATAGGGCAATAATAAAGCCACATTATTTGAGTTAGTAAATATTATTTGTCAAATATAGATACTGTTCTTAAAAGATTTCCCCCATTTCCCCTCACACTGTCCCCCTCCACCTCCCTCCTCAACCCGTTCTCGCAAATTTAATAAGTCAATATTGACTTATTAGTTGCGTGCATAGGTGACATACTATACATAATAGTTTCCCTTGAAAAGCTTCATAGAAAACACCGACCTTACCTAACCTACTTAGTATGTTAAAATAAGCATCTTATAGCTTCGTAATTACAATTGTTACTTAACCTATTATAGGTATAGGTTAGGTAATAATTGTAATTACGAAGCAATAAGATGCTTATCTTAACATACTAAGTAGGTTAGGTAAGGTCGGTGTTTTCTATGAAGCTTTTCAAGGGAAACTATTATGTTAAGTATGTCACCTATGCACATATTTAATAAGTCAATATTGACTTATTAAATTTGCGAGAACGGGTTGCCCTCCTACCACCTGAAAAAAACTTCCACCTCCATCATTATATTGTAAATTATTGTATATTGTTGTACATTGTAAATGTAACTTAATCTCCTATATTAGGAATCACTACTATTTTGTAGGATGAGACAAAGCCCATACAGGGAAGGAGTTATCGTAAATAAAACGTCGAAACTTTACATATCTATAGTCTAAAGTCTACATAACAATGTCTCAAATCTTGACGAGAGCTCCAGAGAGCTCACTATTGCTGCCCTTCTCTCCCACAGCATGAGTCACCTAGACATTGCCAACCTCAGAGTCCGAGTCGGGGCTCACAACATCCATTTGGCAGAGAGAACAGCCCAGGAGTTCAAGGTCAGCCGAGTGGTGAGACACAAGGATTACGACTCCAGGAAACTGGTGAGTCCTCCCTCGGGAGTAGGGCTGACACTGAGTCATTTATTATGCACCTCATACCCATACCGTGTGCAGTTGAGAAGAGGATTAAAGAGTCGTATAATGGGTTCAGGAATCGAGCCTCTTGTGTACTCACCTAGTTGTGTTTGCCGGGGTTGAGCTCTGGCTCTTTGGTCCCGCCTCTCAACCGTCAATCAACAGGTGTACAGATTCCTGAGCCTATTGGGCTCTATCATATCTACACTTGAAACTGTGTATAGAGTCAGCCTCCATGTGTATACATAGGTATGTATTCTGCTTCTCTCCTATATACACAGAGGTTTACCCTTCACCTTTTGGTGTATATATACCGAAATGTACATTCTGCATTTTTATGTATATACACTGAAAGTTTATTCAAGTCCTGGACAAAGAAATGGAACAAATTGCCTAATAAAAGTGAATTATCGAATCAAATGAACTAACATAAAGCTATGAATGCATAAAGAAAATCTAGTACAGATTTAATGAATACAATTATATAAATTTTAAATGAATAATATGAATTTAACACTCTGAGTTAAACGCAAGCGACCCAAACGACCGAATTACCCTCAACGACTCTCTTCCCGCAGCTCAACGACGTGGCTATGATGACGCTGGACCGTCCGGCCGTCTTCAACGACGTCGTACGTCCGGTGTGTCTCGATCGGAGCGGCAACGACTACGTCGACGAATTCGTCACCGTGGCCGGATGGGGCAGCATGTTCGAAGGTCCGGATAGATGTATATAGAGCCGGTTATAGAGAGTGGTGGCTTACAGTTATGTCTCATTTCCAACCCCCTTCCCTGCTTTTCCATCATTTTGTGTCTCATTTCTCTTTTTTTTCATCATTTTGTGTCTCATTTTTCTCTATTTTTCTCGTTTTTCATCATTTTGTGTCTCATTCACCTTTTTTCTTTCATCATTTTGTGTCTCATTCCTCTCTCTTTTTTCATCATATTGTGTCTCATTCCTCTCATTTTTTTCATCATTTTGTGTCATATTTTTCTCTTTTTTCATCATTTTGTGTCTCACTTCTCTCTTTTCTCATCATTTTGTGTCTCTTTTCTCTCTTTTTTCGTCATTTTGTGTCTCATTTTTCTCTTTTTTCATCATTTGGTTTCTCATTCCTGTCTTTTTTCCATCATTTTGTGCCTCATTCCTCTCTTTTTCCATCAATCATTTTGTGTCTCATTCCTCTATGTTTCCATTATTTTGTGTCTCATTCCTCTCTTTTTCTCATCATTTTGTTTCTCATTCCTCTCTTTTTTCCATCATTTTGTGTCTCTTTCAAATAGCAATTGGTTGGGCCCGTTTCCTATCACCTCATCTACCTGTTCACCTAGCAGTAAATATTCACCCGGGAGTTAGTCAGCTGTAGCGGAGTCTCAACCTGCTCTACATCCCCCATGGTTCTCCTCCACACAGGAGGACCTCAGCCGGCGACGCTGTACGAGGTCAAGCTGAAGGTCACCAGCAACGCTGAGTGTAGGTCGACGTACGGAGCGGCGGCTCCAGGAGGCATCGTCGATTCGTACCTTTGCGCGGGCGCCACCGGATTCGACTCCTGTCAGGTCAGTCTGGGTGGTTACAGGTCACTCTTAAGGGGGGTTACAGGTCACTCTAGGTGTGTGTTACAGAGGTCAGATGTCACTCTAGGGGGTCATAGAGGGTCGGATGTCACTCTAGGGGGGTCACAGAGGGTCAGATGTCACTCTGGAGGGGTCACAGGGGGTCAGATGTCACTCTAGGGGGTCACAGAGGTCACACGTCTCTCTGGAGAGGTCACAGAGGGTCAGATGTCACTCTGGAGGGGTCACAGGGGGGTCAGATGTCACTCTAGGGGGTCACATAGGTCACACGTCTCTCTGGAAAGGTCACAGGGGTCAGATGTCATTCTCCAGGTGTTCACATGCACTGTTAGGTTTGCTGATTTGTCGAACCTGGACACTTTTTTGTGCTTGTGAAAGTTGCTTTCCACTTAGCAAGTTGTCAGATCATTATAAATTAGCCATGTGTACAGGGGCGCGGGCGTATGTGCGCGCGCGCGCCTTCACATTCTTATAATTTATGTATGAAAAATACCTGCATTACAGTTACATATGCATAGTTCCTGTAGTCTAATTCCGTCTATGTAGAACTGTTAATGTATTTTATACGCTATACACAAAAAAATACAAGTTTCATGCAACTACAATTGTTTTTGTCGTGTCTGTGGGGTGACAGGGTGACAGCGGCGGACCGCTGGTGAAGTTCGTCGACGGAGTCTGGAAGCAGATCGGTCTAGTGTCTTGGGGCATCGGGTGCGGCAAGAGTTACTACCCAGGAGTCTACACCAGGATCAGCTCCTTCATCTCTTGGATCGACCGCGTCCAGAAGTCCTACTGAGGAGGGGATATTTTGAGGCGTGGAAGAGGGTGAAGAAGTCCCTCAAAGAGAGAGAGAGGGTGAGCGAGGCATCTTGAGGAGCGTGAGAGACAGCCTAGCCAGTTTCAATAAGCAAAACTACGGTCACTAAACGGAAGGAGACGCTGTAGCTCCTCCTTGAGATGGTTGAGGGTCGAGGTACTCCTAACGAACTTTGTAAGTTCGTTAGAAGTACATCATAGTGATTTATCAAATCAAATCCCTTGTATAAGAAGTGATTTGTATTTGATAAATACAAATTAAATACATAATATCAAATCACGAGTAGTGATTTGATAGTGAAGAGCTTCACCGATGTATACATAAACATTTGCACAAAGAAATTTTGTATATGCATTAATTTTCATTTTTCAATTTATTTAAAATACTAAATGACACGACAAAATTAGAGGGCTTGTATTATATACTTTATTTACAATACATTAGACGTCAAAACTATCGAGGCGTCGCCTCACGTCCGGAAGGGATATTCTTACTCCATTCTCACATCCTAACTCAATAAACACATCCTTAATCCATATCCACATCCTTAATCTACATCCACACCCTCACTCCATACATCAATGATGCTTTACACACAGAAATCACAATTGGGTGATGCATCAAATGAACAAATGATTCAGGCAGCGTCTGGGATGCTCTCGGACGCAGGTTCGAATCCTCGTCACGGCCCTTGTGAATTTGTTCATCAATGATACTTACTCCAACTCTACACCCAAACCCTCATTCATGTCAAATTTGACATAATCAAATTCAAATTTATTTATATCCATAGAAATATGTTCTTTGATCAATTTTGAATGTCTAATATAATTGTTAAAAAATGAGGCATTATTAGCTCCAGTGTTTCCCCTAAGAGACTAATTTAATAATTAGGTTACTGTAGGAGCGATTATGTATTGTAATATATATGTAACTGATCAATATATTCTAAAGGAAAAATATCTTGGAGGTGTTTCTTTATTATGCATCATCTTTTGTATTATTTGTCATGTGAAGTAGGTTAGGTTAGGTTAGGTTAGGTTAGGTTAGGTTAGATCTTCTCTCTAAACCTTAAAGCCATCTAATCACATGAAATTCTGTTAGGTTACACATTTGTTCATTCTGTTAGGTTCTTCTAATTTACAGCGTATAAGAACTCTGTTCATTATTGTTCTCTCTTTCCTTGTTCCTAAGTTTATCTCACAGATCTTAACTCATTTATGTTCTCTTTCTATGTTCTTAATACTTTTTGAGGATTGTTTTTAGGCCTAAAGAGGGATTGTTAGTATATTCACAAATAAAAAAGAGGAACTGCCACTCATATCCGAGTAGACCTTTTTCAGTTTCTTTTAAGTTTTACGTATAATGTCGAAAATTTGGTATAATTTCTATATATAAATATATATATATATATATATATATATATATATATATATATATATATATATATATATATATATATATATATATATATATATATGTCGTACCTAATAGCCAGAACGCACTTCTCAGCCTACTATTCAAGGCCCGATTTGCCTAATAAGCCAAGTTTTCATGAATTAATGTTTTTTCGTCTACCTAACCTACCTAACCTAACCTAACCTAGCTTTTTTGGATACCTAACCTAACCTTACCTATAAATATAGGTTAGGTTAGGTTAGGTAGGGTTGGTTAGGTTCGGTCATATATCTACGTTAATTTTAACTCCAATAAAAAAAATTGACCTCATACATAGAGAAAAGGGTTGCTTTATCATTTCATAAGAAAAAAATTATAGTAAATATATTAATTCAGGAAAACTTGGCTTATTAGGCAAATCGGGCCTTGAATAGTAGGCTGAGAAGTGAGTTCTGGCTACTAGGTACGACATATATATATATATATATATATATATATATATATATATATATATATATATATATATATATATATATATATATATATATATATATATATACACACACACACACACCTTAATGTGGAATAATTGCCATCATTTTTACTGCTAGAATTTCTGTGGATCTCATCAGACCACGATCGATCGTACGTGTTACAAGGACGTGTTACAAGGACGTGTTACAAGGACGTGTCACAAATCATAAACGAGTGAAAATTATACAAGTTATCAAACTATATGTCAGCTTCAGTATACAGATTAAATACATGTCCTGTTCCCTTAAGTAAATGTTATCAAATACCAAGTAATACGGGACAAAAACCTATAATATATTATAGGTTTTTGTCCATATAAAAATTATACAAATCTTCGCTGCAATAATTCTAAAAATAATATACAGAAATACTAACAGTTGTGTTTGCAACGGAAAATTGTGTGTAAATGTGTAAAATTTACATTGTCCTATTATACATATACATATTATTCATAATATCGGTGGATATTTTACAAAGTTCTGTGCGTTGAAATGTATGGTTAAAGGGGCCCCTATGATGTGGCTATAATTACAAGCATAAGGTTGATAAATGTTATCAGTGACATCCTGCTTACTCACTAATAGTCACTTTGCAACCTTTGCAACCAGGGAGCCGGTCGGCCGAGCGGACAGCACGCGGGACTTGTGATCCTGTGGTCCTGGGTTCGATCCCAGGTGCCGGCGAGAAACAACGGGCAGAATTTCTTTCACCCTATGCCCCTGTTATCTAGCAGTAAAATAGGTACCTGGGTGTTAGTCAGCTGTCACTGGCTGCTTCCTGGGGGTGGAGGCCTGGTCGAGGACCGGGCCGCGGGGACACTAAAAGCCCCGAAATCATCTCAAGATAACCTCAAGATAACCTTTAACACAGAGTGCATCATTCCCTGCTACTCTGCATATGCACTCTCGACCAGACTTAATTTCTTGCATGGCAAATGCAGGGCTTTAAAGTGTTCCTCTCGTGTGTAAAAGTTCTCCCACGAACTACGGGATCACCTTAGCCCGTGCTTCACCTGAAGCGACTCTTAAACAACAACAATTCTCCCACGTGACCCACTATAAGCTGCTGCAACACAAATATATGTAAACTATTAACTTTTCCTCTTAACTTGATCTCATATATTTATATATAGGACTTGTATACGTGTATGTTTATATGCGGAGATGATAATGAAAACCTACGACAGTCCTGGCTGGACGCAACTTTTACCAAGTCTTCACCGTCGGAGACCTCACAGTAGCCAGTCCGGAGACCTCACAGTAGCCAGTCCGGACCCCTCACAGTAGCCAGTCCGGAGAGCTCACAGTAGCCAGTCCATCGAGACCTCACAGTAGCCAATCCAGAGATCTCACAGTAGCCAATCCAGAGATCTCACAGTTACCAGTCCGGAGACCTCACAGTAGCCAGTCCGGAGATCTCACAGTAGCCAGTCCGGAGACCTCACAGTAGCCAGTCCGGAGACCTCACAGTAGCCAGTCCAGAGACCTCACAGTAGCCAGTCCGGAGACCTCACAGTAGCCAGCCCAACCTCCCAAACAAGCCAACGATGGTCGCTTTTCTGCTACATGCAAGTTTCAGTGTCGCACCTGTACCTCTTCCCGCGGCTCTGGCTCCTCTAATGTCGCCGTCAACACGAGGATTCCAAAAGGCTGGTTGGAGATCAAGGTGGTGGTGAGGTTGTAGGGGTGTGGGGGGTTCTGGTGGGAGGTTAAGAGGTTGTTGGGGAGGGGAAGATAAGAGTTCTGGAAGAAGGAGGAGGAGGCTGAGTAAGATCAAAAAACTGTTGGAAAGGAAAGAGCTTTCTTTTCTTCTAAGTCCGTCAGATTCCTAGTCCCATATTAATGGTTGCTGGTATTTTAAAATCCAGCTAAAAAAAATCATCAGAAAAAGGGGTAGACCTTAGACAAGCCGCTGGCTTCCTGTCCTCTTCGAGGTCAGGTGTGTTAGTGAGGGTATTGGTATCGTTTAATAATACTTATGTTTACCATTAAAGATTAACATTTTCTTTATTAAGGTTCGTTTTCTTTCACTTTCGTGGGATACTATATGGAATACATTTCAGGCGTCAATGATACATTTGTAAAACAATATATATATGATTAAATTGAAATTTGAATTCCTTTTTTGGCTTATATTTATAAAAAATATATCGGTAAATACATTGTAGCATAAAGCCAGTCATGCGAACTAAAGCCTCATTTCGCAGGAAGTCATTATGACTGGAAATTTGAAACCATAATTTGATTCCAGTGACTAATTTAACTTGCTTATTTAAATGAGTATTTGGGTTTAGCTTTCCAGTGATTACAACAGACGCTGCGGCTGCCTGTCTGTATTTCTCCGCTGCGTACCATCCACCACCCATATAGACAGTGAGGAAGACACCCGTCTTCCGGACACTCCGGCCGGCCAACCAAAAATTTTGCCTGTGTTCTCAGTGCCTCTGTAACCCTTTCCACTACCGCCCACAAGATGGGTATGGGGTGAATAATAAATGGGTTCTCATCTCCCAAAGGCACAGTACAGTTTCCCCGTGACAAGAGGCGTGTGTGTATATATATAGCCACACGTCACATGTCGGCGACGTGTGGAAACGGCCATCTCCGCTTGCCCCCTACACAAGGACGTCTCCTGCCGTCCTTGCTCTTAACAAAAATCACCCCCATGCCCTTCACCTGGGCTCTAGGAGGCTCGAACCCTGGACCCCACGTGTGAGGCCGAAGCTCTATCGTCAGAGCAATCGAGTAGAACTTTTTTGTAGTGTCGAGTAGTACTTTAATAGTAACTAAACCCCTGTCATGTCTTTCCCACTGATCTTTCAGTCCAGTACAAGTATCACTGAAGATAATAAGATAATTACACCCCCCCCCCTCCTACACAACCCGTTCTCGCAAATTCGTAAAGTCAATATTGACTTATTAACTACGTGCATAGGTGATATACTAAACATAATAGATACCCTTGAAAAGATTCATAGAAAACACCGACCTTACCTAACCTTGTTAGAATCTTAAGATAAGCATTTTATTGCTTCGTAATTACAATTATTACTTAACCTGACGGGTTGCTCCTACACCATGTCGCTACACCACACTAGCCATGAAGATAAATAGTGAGTGTACTGGTGATCTACAGGGAGTTACAGCACCGCTCCTGTGCCAGGTAAGTCCACTACGGGCTCACCATAGCCCGTGCTACTTGGAACTTTTGTTCAGAGTAGCTGAATCTAAAACAAGAACAGGTGATCTACAAACACTAACAGGAAAAGGGAACAGAACTATCAGGAAGAAAACGTCAAGCCATTACGACTATATAGCACTTGGAAGGGATCAGAATAAGGATTTGGGATGGGACGGGGGGAAAGGAATGCTGCCCAACCACTTGGACGGTCGGGGATTGAACGCCGACCTGAATGATGCTAGACCGTCGCTCTACTGTCCACCCCAAGTGATTGGATTGAGAGAGAAGACCTTCACCCTATCTTCTTGAGGTTATCTTGAGATGATTTCGGGGCTTTAGTGTCCCCGCGGCCCGGTCCTCGACCAGGCCTCCACCCCCAGGAAGCAGCCCGTGACAGCTGACTAACACCTAGGTCCTTATTTTACTGCTAGGTAACAGGGGGCATAGGATGAAAGAAACTCTGCCCATTGTTTCTCGCCGGCGCCTGGGATCAAACCCAGGACCACAGGATCACAAGTCCAGCGTGCTGTCCGCTCGGCCGACCGCACACTGGACCCTAGAAGTACACACATCACCCACCAACACTGGAAAGTGTATGACTGACCACAGCGAATGTCCACATAGATATAAGACTAGTTGACTAGTTAATCGAAGACTAGAAATCAAATCAAATCATCTCAAGACAGTGAGACAGAATATATATAGACAGAACTCTTACACATTGTTCTGATTGACATAGCAAAGACCTGGAGCCAGATTCATGAAAGTACTTACGCAAGCACTTACGAACCTGTACATCTTTTCTCAATCTTTGGCGGCTTTGTTTATAGTTATTAAACAGT